TGTGCTGAAAAAGTTGTTCATTTCGTTGGCTATCTCAGGTAAATCGGAAGTCGTTTGACCATTTTCTTTTTTTATCAGTTTGATGTTACTGTTTTCTTGATATTCATTCGAAGCCTCCTGGATAGTACGCCACATTTTTTTTGGGTCATTTAAGTTTTTTGTTATTTTTTCTTTGTAGTACGTATATTTTGCATTTTTTAAAATCTTCGTCAAGCAGTCCCTATACTGAGTATACTCTTTGACAGTTTCTGGAAAATAATTAGATCTTACCACATTTTTTTTTAGCTTATTTCTATAACGAATACTTTTAACAAGGTTAGTAGTGATCCACGGTTTTAGGCATCGATGCCTATTGGGTATTGAAATAACTTTAGTACTGTTTTCTATGTAGAGTTTAATTTTTTTAGTTAGTTTTTCGGCAATAGTATCAGGATGGGCATCCTTCAGAATATCTAGCCAAGATTCATTGTTCAAGAAAGTATGCAACTTTCCAAAATCAACTTTCTGATAGAATTTATTGACCTGCATTGTTTTTTTATGACTTAACTCCATACTCAATATTATCGGAAAATGATCTGTAATGTCACTATTAATAACAGCAGCATCACATTTTTTCGAAGTTTTAACAAAAAAGTGATCCAAACAAGACTTTTTTCTGGTGGGTATGGTAATATACGGAAAGTAACCTAATCCTGATAAACAGTTAAGAAAGTTTAAACCATGTACGTTATTACTATCTAATAAGTTGATGTTAGTGTCCCCCGAAAAAATTTCTATGGAGCAAGGAGAAAAGTTATTTTGTGTAAGCAAGCTCAAAATTATATCCGAATATATTTTTTCATCCAAACAGGGTAGCCTATAATGTGCTATTAACCCAATTTTGGTATTATTTTTTAATAGCTCAATACGTAAAAATTTATGATTTTGAATATTTATAATTTTATGCTGCAATACTAGGTTAGTTTTCACATAAATAATAGTACCATCGCACCAGTTAATTGTACTTTCATTATAAAATATGGAATATGTCTTAATATTAAAGTCCGCATAATTTTCTATAATGTGAGTTTCCGACATGATTATAACATCATAATCTACCTCTAATGAACTTAATAATAATAGGAAGTTGTCAAGATTGGTTTTGATCCCCCTAATATTAACATGGACAATGTTTAAGCCATTTTTACTATCCAACGAAAAACCTTTGACGTCATTAACAATGTCACAGATTTTATTTTGACATGAACGATAAGAATCCAATAAACTATTGTGCTCCATTTTAGAATATAGAGTAAATATACAAAGTCTTTCCTAAATAAAGTTTTAGTTGTTCATTTTTCAATTTCAGAAAGGATTTTTTGCAAATGTAGTGTGTTACGTACTTTAATAATTTTGTCCCGCTCCTTCTTACGTAAGAGCACTGAACCATTTTGGTACCAAACAAATTTAAATCCATGATCCTTGCATTTTTTTGCTTCCTTTAATAAATTGTAAGTGATATACGATAAGTATTCGTTGATATATATTACCGGTGTGAAGTTAGCAGCCTTTTTGCAGCAGCCAAAAATGTGAAGTTAGCAGCCATTTGTAGCAGCCAAAATTGTGAAGTTAGCAGCCATTTTTTGGCAGCTCTTTTTTTTTTTAAATGGTTGATTTACAAATTTTGTGTACATTATTATTATATACCCTCGGGCAAAGTACAACAGAAAAACAAAACAAAAAACTACCCCTAATAAAACATCAAGTAGAACATTAATATCTACAAAACAACTTTTCTAAAATAAAATATAACACCCTGAAATTTAGAATAGTCTTTAACATAGCCCTCAAGTACGTCTAGTTCGAAGAACAACCCCTTATTGCCGTCAGGCTGGGATCAACCCTTATTATTAAAATAATTGGAAATGCTCATTTCGGGAGAGTGTAACACCATCAAACTCAGTGGGACGATCATCAGAACCATTTCTAACATTCCCACCAAAGGACAACCCCTTACCTGCCGTCGGAGTGTGTTGAAAACTACCCTTAGTAAGAAAATGATAGAAAACATTTTTTTTCTATTATTTTCATGCTAAGGGTAGTTTTTAACACACTCTGACGGCAGGTAAGGGGTTGTCCTTTGGTGGGAATGTTCGAAATGGTTCTAGTTATCGTCCCAATCAAGTTTCAGAGCGTTACAGTTTCTCGCAATGTGTTTTTCCAATTTTTTTCTATTATTTTCGTACTAAGGGTAGTTTTTAAGACACTCCGACGGCAGGTAAGGGGTTGTCCTTTGGTGGGAATGTTCGAAATGGTTCTAGTTATCGTCTCAATCAAGTTTCAGAGCGTTACAGTTTCTCGCAATGTGTTTTTCCAATTTTTTTCTATTATTTTCGTACTAAGGGTAGTTTTTAAGACACTCCGACGGCAGGTAAGGGGTTGTCCTTTGGTGGGAATGTTCGAAATGGTTCTAGTTATCGTCCCAATCAAGTTTCAGAGCGTTACAGTTTCTCGAAATGTGTTTTTCCAATTTTTTTCTATTATTTTCGTACTAAGGGTAGTTTTTAACACACTCTGACGGCAGGTAAGGGGTTGTCCTTTGGTGGAAATGTTCGAAATGGTTCTAGTTATCGTCCCAATCAAGTTTCAGAGCGTTACAGTTTCTCGCAATGTGTTTTTCCAATTTTTTTCTATTATTTTCGTACTAAGGGTAGTTTTTAAGACACTCCGACGGCAGGTAAGGGGTTGTCCTTTGGTGGGAATGTTCGAAATGGTTCTAGTTATCGTCCCAATCAAGTTTCAGAGCGTTACAGTTTCTCGCAATGTGTTTTTCCAATTTTTTTCTATTATTTTCGTATTAAGGGTAGTTTTTAAGACACTCCGACGGCAGGTAAGGGGTTGTCCTTTGGTGGGAATGTTCGAAATGGTTCTAGTTATCGTCCCAATCAAGTTTCAGAGCGTTACAGTTTCTCGAAATGTGTTTTTCCAATTTTTTTCTATTATTTTCGTACTAAGGGTAGTTTTTAACACACTCTGACGGCAGGTAAGGGGTTGTCCTTTGGTGGAAATGTTCGAAATGGTTCTAGTTATCGTCCCAATCAAGTTTCAGAGCGTTACAGTTTCTCGAAATGTGTTTTTCCAATTTTTTTCTATTATTTTCGTACTAAGGGTAGTTTTTAAGACACTCCGACGGCAGGTAAGGGGTTGTCCTTTGGTGGGAATGTTCGAAATGGTTCTAGTTATCGTCCCAATCAAGTTTCAGAGCGTTACAGTTTCTCGAAATGTGTTTTTCCAATTTTTTTCTATTATTTTCGTACTAAGGGTAGTTTTTAACACACTCTGACGGCAGGTAAGGGGTTGTCCTTTGGTGGAAATGTTCGAAATGGTTCTAGTTATCGTCCCAATCAAGTTTCAGAGCGTTACAGTTTCTCGAAATGTGTTTTTCCAATTTTTTTCTATTATTTTCGTACTAAGGGTAGTTTTTAACACACTCTCACGGCAGGTAAGGGGTTGTCCTTTGGTGGGAATGTTCGAAATGGTTCTAGTTATCGTCCCAATCAAGTTTCAGAGCGTTACAGTTTCTCGCAATGTGTTTTTCCAATTTTTTTCTATTATTTTCGTACTAAGGGTAGTTTTTAACACACCCTGACGGCAGGTAAGGGGTTGTCCTTTGGTGGAAATGTTCGAAATGGTTCTAGTTATCGTCCCAATCAAGTTTCAGAGCGTTACAGTTTCTCGAAATGTGTTTTTCCAATTTTTTTCTATTATTTTCGTACTAAGGGTAGTTTTTAAGACACTCCGACGGCAGGTAAGGGGTTGTCCTTTGGTGGAAATGTTCGAAATGGTTCTAGTTATCGTCCCAATCAAGTTTCAGAGCGTTACAGTTTCTCGAAATGTGTTTTTCCAATTTTTTTCTATTATTTTCGTACTAAGGGTAGTTTTTAACACACTCTCACGGCAGGTAAGGGGTTGTCCTTTGGTGGGAATGTTCGAAATGGTTCTAGTTATCGTCCCAATCAAGTTTCAGAGCGTTACAGTTTCTCGAAATGTGTTTTTTCCAATTTTTTTCTATTATTTTCGTACTAAGGGTAGTTTTTAACACACTCTCACGGCAGGTAAGGGGTTGTCCTTTGGTGGGAATGTTCGAAATGGTTCTAGTTATCGTCCCAATCAAGTTTCAGAGCGTTACAGTTTCTCGCAATGTGTTTTTCCAATTTTTTTCTATTATTTTCGTACTAAGGGTAGTTTTTAAGACACTCCGACGGCAGGTAAGGGGTTGTCCTTTGGTGGGAATGTTCGAAATGGTTCTAGTTATCGTCCCAATCAAGTTTCAGAGCGTTACAGTTTCTCGCAATGTGTTTTTCCAATTTTTTTCTATTATTTTCGTACTAAGGGTAGTTTTTAAGACACTCCGACGGCAGGTAAGGGGTTGTCCTTTGGTGGGAATGTTCGAAATGGTTCTAGTTATCGTCCCAATCAAGTTTCAGAGCGTTACAGTTTTCCGAAAAAATTTTTTTATATTATTTTCACACTAAGGGTAGTTTTTGACACACTCCGACGGCAGGTAAGGGGTTATCCTTTGGTGGGAATGTTAGAAATGGTTCTGATGATCGTCCCACTGAGTTTGATGGTGTTACATTTTTCCGAAATGTGCTTTTCCAATTATTTTAATAATAAGGGTTGATCCCAGCCTGACGGCAATAAGGGGTTGTTCTTCGAACTAGACGTACTTGAGGGCTATGTTAAAGACTATTCTAAATTTCATGGTGTCACATTTTATTTTAAAAAAGTTGTTTTGTAGATATTAATGTTCTACTTGATGTTTTATTAGGGGTAGTTTTTTGTTTTGTTTTTCTGTTGTACTTTGCCCGAGGGTATATAATAATAATGTACACAAAGTTTGTAAATCAACCATTTAAAAAAAAAGAGCTGCCAAAAAATGGCTGCTAACTTCACAATTTTGGCTGCTACAAATGGCTGCTAACTTCACATTTTTGGCTGCTGCAAAAAGGCTGCTAACTTCACACCGGTATATATATTGTTGTGTTCGATGTATTTATTCCACAGGAATGCGTGTTCAAGATTCCGACCTCACGACGTTTTTTTAATATGTTTTTAACCATTTCGGATTTAGTTAGGGAGACAGATACTATGGGAGCTTTGTTTTTTACAGGAATAGTCTTGATGTTACCCAGGTGTTCTTTGTTAATCGAATTGTCAACAAAATTTAAGACTTTGAGCGATTTTTCCAATAACACCTTCTCAGTATCCTCTTTATCAAATGCGCCATTAATCATAAGCATAGTACTCACTTTATCTGCCTCAATTTCTAATAACTTGGATTGGACCAATGACAATTCTTCTCTAAGTTTCTTGTTTTCGCCTCTAGTCTCCTCAATCATGTCACTCATAACCTTGTTTATCTGGCGTTGCTCATCATACATACCATGCAAGAAATCTAGGGAAGTTTTAACCTCGTCCATATCTTTGTGAATCACTGCCATTTCAGTTTTTAGTTCCAAGAGCAGGGAATAAATCGAATCCAAATCTTTCCCCTCTGGAATGGAAGAAATGCGCCTGCTAATGTTGGAAGATGATTCCCTATTAGCATTTTGGCCTAAGACAGTTATCGTAAGTCTTTTACATTTCTTGCAGCACCAAGGCTTCTTCTGTTCGGACAGAAGCCGTTCTTCCACTTCAGTAATTTTGGTACAAGTAACCGAGTGGTACCATTTTTTGCACTCTACACACTGAAAATTAGGACACTGTTTCGCAACCCTTGTATTACATTCACCACAGTAAGACGCGCGCGTCATACTTAACCAGGAAAAAAGGGTTTCACTAAGCGGCAACTATGTTACCTTCAAAACAGCGAAATTGCGAGCACCACCGGTAAATCTTATCACAAAGATGATAACGTTTTTATTTAATTCGTGTTTTTAATTCGAGCTATTACGATTTATTTATCACTTTTACACCTTACAGCACTTCGTAATAGACAATGTAATACTTTTTCAAATTTATTCCAATTGAAAATCACTGTTTTTGCAAATATTTCACGAGCGTAAAAATAATAACGTTAGTTGCTTAAAAGTTTCTGCTAATTCGTGTATATAATCTGTTTGTATTTGATTCAAGTTTTTCTCGAAATTCAATTGATAATTGAGATTACCTTTCACCATTTGAAATGGTCTATAATCATGTGAAGAATGTATGCTATTATTATAATTTAATATAGCAATATCGATCAATTCTTGGATAGTCTTGGAACGATGTTTATTCCTAAGAGCTACAAGGCTTTCCTTCAATGTTGAATGGAACCTTTCTATTGGAGAATTAGAGTTAGGGCTGTAAGGTGTAACAAAATGTAACTCAATTTTGTAAGTCTTACAAAGATCTTGGATTAAATTACTTTTAAATGCTGGACCATTATCCGTAGTAATTTTACTAGGTGTTCCATGGTGTGAGAAGAATTTAATCAAGATTTGACAAATCTCAATTGCGTTTTCGTTAATAGGATACGCAGTTGCGAATTTTGAGAAATTATCTATTATTGTTAGGTATTTTTGACCAGATACTGAGTATGTATCTATATAGATATGCTCAAAAGGTTTTGAACCTGTTGGGGTAGGCTTATATATAACCTTGTAAGGATGTCGATCATATTTCGTTTTCTGACAAGTTTCACAGGTATTAATGAAATTAATTACGTCGCGCTCAAGGCTTGGCCAATAATATGACTGCTTGATATTTTTGATGTTTTCCGTTATACCTCGATGTGATGTTTTTGTTGTGTGATATCTTTCGATTATCTCCTTTTGTTCTTCTTGATCAGTTACATCTTCAAGAAGGGTGTTGGAAATCTCAAGTTTAAATGTGTTATTCCTAAAAGTTTGTTGGAATATCCTTAAAACAAGAGGTTCTAACTCTTTATAAGGGAAATGTAGACAGTAAGTGTCTGGTGCTAGATAGTCTCTAAATAGTTCTTGGATTTCTCTTGTAATTGGATTTTCATTAATGAATATTATTGTTCTTTTCTTTGTTTCAAACAATTTCTTCGTTTTCAGATACGGCTTATCTTTAGTTGTCCATTTAAAAATTATTTGATTTTTGTGAGTATTTACACTTTTTTCCACATATGGTGCTCATAAGATAGGATTTTCAATTGCTGAATGGACTGTTTCTGTTTCCGATCCACTTTTTTCTGGTAATTTTTTATTTCCATTAGGCGATCCTTTATGTTCATTGGATGTTCCTGGTTTTGGTGAATTATTCTTATTTTCTTTAGATGGTCCTGGTTTAGGCGATCTATTTTCTTTAGATGGTTCCGGTTTAGGTAATTTATTTTCTTTAGACGGTCCTGGTTTAGGTAATTTATTTTCCTTAGATGGTTAAAGTTATTCGTTTTTATTTACAAGAATTACCTTTTTACCATCAGGTTTGATTGAATGTCTGATATTATTTTAATTTTTGAGCTTTTCTTAGCTTTTTCCACTTCCTTTGGAACAATTTTCTTTGGTGGGTCGAACAAGTCTTCCTGTGTATCAAAGAAATGCTCGACTTTCTCTCTCCATGAATATTGGTCTTCGTCTTCTTTCTGAATTTCACTTTGAGTTTCACATACAGCTGACATATGCGATGATGGTGATTTAATTATACTAGTAGGAAAGGTGTCTAAGGGTGGACGCGAAAGAGCATCTGCATTAGAATTTTTTGTTCCTTTTTTGTATTGAATAGTATAATCATATTCTTGAAGTTTTAGTCTCCATCGGACTAACTTTGAACCTGGGTCTTTCACTGAAAAGAGCCACTGAAGGGGTTTGTGATCAGTCACGATAGTGAATTTTTGACCAAATAAATAGGGTCGAAAGTACTTTGTCGCCCATACAATTGCGAGAAGTTCTTTTTCTATAGTAGAATAATTACATTCTGCTTGATTGAGGGTTCTACTTGCATAAGCTATAGGTAGATCAGTTCCAATAGGACCTTGAGAAAGAACTGCGCCTATTGCGTAGTTTGAAGCATCTGTTGTAAGGACAAATGGTTTTGAAAAATCAGGATATTTTAATATCGGATCGTTCATTAAAATATTCTTACAAAGATTGAATGCATCGACAAATTGTTTGTCATGAATTATCTTCACATTTTTCTTTAAACATTGAGTTAAAGGTTTGGTGATCTTAGCAAAGTTTTTAATGAATTTCCTGTAGTATCCTACAAGTCCTAGAAAAGATTTTATTTCTTTTGGTGTTTTTGGAATTTTAAATTTCTTTATTGCTTCTACTTTCTTTTCATTTGGTTTTATACCATCTGCGGTTATTGTATGTCCAAGGAATTCAACAGTTTTGTGGAGAAATTCACACTTATCTAGTTGAATTTTCAAATTGTATTGAATAAGTCGTTCAAATACTTGTCTTAAAGAATCAAGGTGTTGTTGTAGTGATGTTGAGTATATGATTATGTCATCCATATAAACTAAACATATTTTACCAAGTATTTCTTTCAATACGTTTTCGATAGCTCTCTGAAATGTGGAGGGGGCATTTTTCAAACCGAAGGGCATTCGTAAAAACTCGTAATGTCCGTGCTCTACATTAAAGGCTGTTTTTGGTATGCTTTTAGGATCCATTTCTATCTGGTGGAATCCGCTTGCTAAATCTAAGGTTGTAAAATACTGCGATCTTCCAAGCTTATCTAATATATCCGCTATATTAGGTAATGGATACCTGTCATCTATGGTTTTCTCGTTTATTTTACGATAGTCTATAACAAGTCTCCATTTTTTCTTTCCTGATGCGTCTGCTTTTTTGGGTACAATCCAAACAGGTGAGCTCCAGGGTGAACTCGAAGGTTGTATGATTTTATCTTGTAACATTTTTCCTATTTGGTTTTTTACTTCCTCTTTATGAACATGAGGGTATCTGTAGCTTTTGGTATGTATTGGAATTTCGTCCGTTGTGTTAATAACATGCTTTACTTGATTTGAAAAAGTTAAGGTATCTCCAGGTCTATGCAAAATTTTATTAAATTTTTGTATAAGTTTGAAGAGATGAAGCCGTTCTTCAGCATTCAAGTGTTCATGTCTTATTAAAGATTTTAAGTCTACTTTTTCTTTTTTTTGTAAAGGTTTTACATGTGACGTAGTTGTTTGTTTTTCGAAAGTTAAGATCTCAAAATTATTGAGTTCAATCGGTTCGAATGGTAAAGTTTCTTCAATATCACAATCTAAGACAAATGATCTGTCTGAGTGATTAAGAATATCGACAGTATAAGTATTGTCAACAATTGTCATTAATGTTGGTTGTATTTCAATAAATTCATCATGTACATAAGGTAATAGCCAAGTTGTATTATTTGGTAACTTAGTTTTAAAAGTAACCTTTTGATGGTTTTAGGAGGTATTTCAACTATGTATTGGTTGAAATTTTTCCTGTATTGGAAAGGGATTTTTAAATATTCATTTACCAATAATTTATTTTTTAAATCAATATTTAAATTCAATTTACGAAGGTGTTTTATACCTAATATACCATCAAAATACTCATGAAATGGGTACAGAATAAACTCCAAGGGTTCGGATATGCCATAAGGTAATAGTAATGGAATGTCTGCTTTACTTGTAGTCTTTTTATTTCCTGCACAAGTTTGTAAAGTAGTTTTATAAGGTACAATTGATTCTGGAAATAGAGTTTCAGCTAATGAAGGTCTAAGTAAGGATGCATGAGATCCTGTGTCTATAAGTAGTCGAATATTATACTTAGAATTAGGAATATTAATATATGGTAAGCGATTAATTTGAAAGCTATTTAAACTTAAGCATGACTTTTTGTTTAATCCGAAGCTTGTAATTGAAAATTTTCCAATTGTTCAGCTAGAGTTTCATCAGTAGTTGAAGATTGGTCATTTTCCATATTCATATATTTGATTATCTGAATAATCAAATTCAGTATTGTCTTCATCATTATTTTCATCAACATGAGTTAATTCTTGAAACGTAAAGTTAGGAGGTTTTCCTGTTGACTGAAAAGGTTTTTGAGTATGTCTTACAGTTGACATATTCTTTCTGGGTTGAACGCTTACACCTGACATTGGTTGAGGGTAAGTTTGTTTAGAAGTTGATTGATTTTTATTAGTTTGATTTATAGGTTTAAATTGCTTTTGAGTTTTGAACTGATTAGTTCAAATTTGATTATTTTGGTAATTATTATTTGATTTTGAAAAATTGGAAGTTGTTGCTGTTGATTTCAAATTTTTCGTTTGATTATGATTTTGTAAAAATGAATTTTTGAAGTTATTTTGACTTATTAAAATTTCATAATTTGTAATAATGTCAATAGCAGTATCAAGATTCTGAGGATTCTGGACAATTAAGAGTGTTCTCAATTCACTAGAAATATTAGCCAGTAAATTTTGAGTTGCAGTTAACTCATTTTGATTATCAAAATTGTTCGCGCTTCTATATTTGCAATGTCCGTACAAATTTTAGTATTTATTTTGGTAACTAAGGCTTTGAGTCTTTGAATATAGTCTTGTGTGGACTCATTTTTCTTTGTTAAAAATATTAACTGTTGTTGTAAGTTAGCTCGAGTGAGAGGATCACTGAACTTTTGTCTTAGGGCTATTTTAATTTCATCCCAAGTTGTTAGATCAGATCTGGTTAAAAGAAAATCTTCAGCAGATCCTGTTATTTTGGATTTTATTGCGAGATTAACATATTCTTGTTGTGAGACGTCATTATTGAAATATCTATTATGGAAGATATCAATTTGTTTGACAAATGCCTCTAAATGTGATGGAGTACCATCAAAAGTTTTTA